TGAGGGCCTCGCCATCAAAGGAAGGCAAAGCAATGCGCTTCGAGGATTTGTTCAAGCGCGCCATGTTCTTGTCCGGACGAAACAAGCGAATTTGACCAGACTGGTCCTTGTAGGCCTTCATACCCTCAAAACATTCGAACGCATAGTGGAAAACACAAGCCGACGGGTCGAGACTGAGGTTCTGATACGGAACAATCTGGGGAGAGTGCCATCCCTCCGTCGCGGTCCATTCAATCGAGAGCATATGATCTAAGATGGAATGCGCATTAGAAATTGGACAGCGCTGAGAAACGACACGTGCTCGTCATACCGGTGAAGGTCTTGCCAAAGACCAAGTCCTTCGGGGCAGTCAATTCCTTGGGGGTATTCGTCTTCGAGACTGTAAGTTTCGATGGGTCAAGGGGGGCCAGTTGGGAGGCAGCAGCTGAAGTAGCACTGAAGCATCTCTTCCATAACTGAGCCGTTGCGGGAGATTGAAAGGCGCGCGGTGCGACGAGGCTTTGTAACGCCCTGCGACGAGCGAATTGAAATGACTTCATGACTGCTTTCTGGCTTAAACAACAATTCAGGGGTGAGAATAGGAATCCCAGAAAAAAGGACAGCAAAGAAGCGCAGGAGAAGAACCACGACAGGAAATAAACCAGAAGAATGTACCGACAGGACCGAGGGCGGGCTGTGGAGCTTAAAAGGCGGATAAGAACGGTAGTCTATGACTCCTGCCCACGGACTACGGCACCAACTCCGAGATTAAGGTCTGACAAGGTCGATTTGGGTTCAGTCATGGAGACCACACTAAGCGAACCTTTGAATCTGGGCATCCCGCCAATACGTAAATGGTTATCTACATGAGCAATTGTACTGGCTATATTGCAAACTCTCCAACCAATAGACCGGTGATGATTCAGACACCCCAGAAGGAGCTCTCTCTTGGTCAGTCTCCGTTTCGAGTCCGACGTCGGCGAGGCGAGTTGCCGGCAGTAAATCCGCGTTCCAGCCAGGCGGTGAGTCCGGGGAAAGACCCTCCTTCCAGTCTCATTCCTGATTGGCCGAGGAGTGTTCCTTGCACGTGATGCTTGCCGACCGGGCAGATTAGCAGCGGCCAACTGATACCTGAAAGCTACCAGAGGGGAGAGAGATATCATATTAATTTAACACATAAGAAAATCAGAGGCCGGGCAATGTATGATAGCGAAGAAACCGTTCGCCTCGTTTACGCTTGAGGAGGACTCAACTTAGCATTGTCAGCTACGCGCCCCCCCCCCCCCTTCCTCTTTCGGTTTCTATATAATACTATTTCTTGTAATATTTGTTCCCCTATCTTCTGTGTCCCTGTTCTTCCCACCCCCGGAACCGCATTGCATACTTCCAGTGTTTCGACAACCACACTGGACGCATTGAGCCCATTGCGGCGGTTCTCTCTTTTTATCTCAGCTTTATCTTGCCTTCTATGGTGAGAAGTGAAACAGACAAAAATGTTTTCGTCTGCTCTCAAATCCCTGAGCTCTAATATATCATCCAACTACCACATCTCTCCACACCCCACCGTGATCTCCGGTCCTTGGAAAATCCACGATGGGAAGAAGAAATCTACCGGAACCACAGCGTCAATCTTCATCTTTGACAAGAAGGTTCTCGAACCGAGATCAACTGGACTTGGTAGTCGTTCCAGCTCTTCCACCAAAAAGCTGCAAGAAGATGTTGTCGAACGCCTGAAGCGGGAAGCAAGCAATCTTGCGCGGCTTCGGCATCCGTCTGTCCTTCAAGTGCTGGAGCCCGTCGAAGAGACTCGGAATGGCGGACTCATGTTTGCTACCGAACAGATCACTGCATCTCTTGCGGGACTACTGCAGGCAAAAGATGCGCAGGAGACCACTTCGAGGAGTGGCTCGAGGTCCAGCCGTTACATGGTGGAAGAGCCCGACGGCACGCGCAGGCGAAGAGACCTCGAGATCGACGAACTAGAGATCCAGAAAGGCTTATTGCAAGTTGCCAAAGGTCTCGAGTTCCTTCACGAGTCTGCTGGGCTTGTTCACGGCAATTTGAACCCTGAAGCCATCTACATCAATGCCAAATCGGATTGGAAAATCTCCGGGCTTGGATTTGCCGGCCCCGCTAGTTCTATTGAGTCACGCTCTACTCTCCCACCTTTGGCTCTATCAGAGGTTCTCTACCAAGACCCACGCCTGCCTCAATCTGTGCAATTGAATCTGGACTATACTTCGCCCGATTTCGTCCTCGACACCAACGTCACTCCTGCAGCGGATCTGTTTTCGCTCGGTCTTATTATAGTAGCGCTCTATAACTCACCCCATGTCTCCCCTCTACAAACGCATTCCAATGTGAATACGTACAAAAAGCTTCTCAGCTCCCCATCCAGCACTCCCTCCCAAGGCAACAACTTCTTATCATCGGGCCCAATCCCAAAGGACGTTCTTTCTCACGTTTTACCCAGGCTGATAACGAGAAGGCCTGCTCAGCGTCTGAATGCGCGCGAATTTCAACAATCCCAGTACTTCGATAATATTCTGGTCTCGACCATTCGCTTTCTAGAGTCTCTACCTGCAAAAAATGCCAACGAAAAGTCGCAGTTTATGCGTGGGCTTCAACGGGTCCTGCCAGAGTTCCCAGTCTCCGTGCTAGACAGAAAGGTGTTGGGCGCCTTACTGGAAGAGCTGAAGGATCGTGAACTTTTGCCTCTTATTTTGAGCAATGTGTTTGCAATCTTGCAGCGTATTCCCAATTCACGGCGCACGTTCCCGGAGCGAGTGATACCTCAGCTCAAAGAAGCCTTCCCAACAGGGAAAGGTGCTGTCCAAGACCGCGACTCTAAAAGAGACGCGGGTCTTTTGGTCGTCCTAGAAAACATGCGCGTCGTTGCAGATAATTGTTCCGGAAAGGAGTTCAAAGAAGGTCGGTGAGACCGAAGACACGCGAATGAGCCGTAACTAACCTTAGCAGACATCCTGCCCCTGATCCGTCTGGGACTCGATTCACCCACGCACACCTTGGTAGATGGTGCAATCAAGTGCTTACCTGTTATTCTTCCGGTCCTTGACTTCAGCACTGTCAAAAACGAAGTTTTCCCGCCTATAGCTTCGACCTTTAGTCGGACAAACAGTCTTGCTATCAAAGTGCGTTGTCTGGAGGCGTTCGCTGTACTGTGTGGTGGCTCCGTGGAAAGCAAGGAGGCAATCGAAGATGATCTATCGGGCGTAAGCCAAACGAGCAAGTCGCAGTTCGTGAAGTCATCCATCCTAGACAAGTACACGATACAAGAAAAGCTTGTCCCATCGTTGAAAGCCATCAAAACCAAGGAACCAGCTGTCATGATGGCTGCTTTGTCTGTCTTCCGCCAAATTAGAACAGTGGCGGACACCGACTTTCTTGCTCTGGAAGTCCTGCCGGTTCTCTGGAGCTTCAGTCTTGGGCCCCTCCTTGACCTGCGTCAATTTGGGGAATTTATGACTTTAATCAAGGATATCTCATCGAAGATCGAAAAGGAACAGACTAAGAAGCTCCAGGAGCTTTCGTCGGGGGGAGATACTGGAGGATTCCAGAACGGCACTGGGTCTTCCTCAACAGCCTCAATCTCGATGGGTCAGTCTAACATGGACAACACAAGAGACAACTTTGAGCGTCTTGTTCTAGGACGAACGGCAGCCACCTCCAATGACCAGGACATTGACCAGTGGGGTAGTCTCACTTCGGGCCCTCCCGCAGTGCAGTCTACTGCTCAAACGACATCGCCTGCGGGCTTCACCTGGTCTTCTAATACCACAAGTTCAGGTGTGAAAGGGAACATGCTCCCAGCCCAAAACAACCTCAGCATGCGTTCGATCACTCCGGATTATAGCTTGAACACTTTCCCGTCCCTAGAACCTGCCAGTCGGGCCAAGTCTCCTCCGACGCCGTCGTTTCCTACACTGCAGCCTTCGCCTTCTTCATCGTGGAGTATACCGAGCCCCGCGAGCAATCAGCAATCGGCCCAGAGATCTAATGTTTCCGGTCTTTCTCTGGGAGCGCTAGCGAACATGAAGACACAGGCACCTATGCCTAGCCAACCCACTCAATCTGCTCCCAATTACTCTGCATTTTCAATTCCTCCGCCTCCATCGGGTCACAGCTCCGTTGGATCATTTGGCAGTCCTGGGGGACTACCTAAGCCAGGAGGTTCGGCCTTCGGTACAACTGCCTCCCCCAATGCTTTTCTAAACAACAGTGCGCCGCAGGCAACACCAAAGCAAGGCCTTGACAAGTACGAGAGCTTGCTGTGAAACCCCCGGGGGTAAGGTCATACAATGGATCCAATTGCATATTTTCAAATTATAGTCACCAGACTCAGATACTCTTTGGGATTTTCCCTTTATTTCTCCCCCTTTATTTCTTTTGTCTCTCTAGCATAGTCACCGGTTATGTTGTGTGTACAGCATCATGCATGATTCCCCCATTGTTTCAGGCGTAGTTCAAAATGGGCTTAAAAGTTTTCAATTTTCCTCTCTAATGTCTGAGTTGGCTCGCATATGGGGCAAAAGAAGGGTTGTGACATATCTAGCATACTGCCATCATCAGGCCACATGATTATGATAATGGAGCATGGGGAGGAAAGCGTGGTGCTACAAGGTGGAGAAACAGTCGTGGAAACGATAAGTGCAGGCTCCACTTTTTTTTGTTGCCAAGCAACCCGATAGTAGATTGATACTATCCCATTCGACTGCAATCTAGGTTTCCTTTCCCCGACGGTGACCCGACGTAGCAGTGACGGAGATTCTTGGGTACCCACGGCCACCATCAGCTCTCCAGGCATGCAACCTCCTCTTCGAGGCGCCTTGAGACGCTTTCCGTCGGCTCAGCGTTTTGTCCTCCCCCACCGCCCCTCGTCCCTGCTGCCCCTCCGTCATCGTCTGCCTCCTCTCCACCTCACCCGCTGCTCTTCCTCGTCTGTAGCAAATCCCCTCACTTCATCCTCCGATTCCCTAATTCACTCCCCTCATCGAACCACAATGGACGCCCAGGCCAAGCAGCACTACCTGGCCGACTCGCCGCCAACCGTGGTTCGCTTGGAAGTCAAGTCTCACTTTGACAACCTCACGGACCCGAAGCTGCGGAAATATGCCCATTACCTGAGCAGGTACGTTATGAATTGCTATAGCCGATACATTTGCTACTATTTCGGTGTCATGTCGCGTCCCGCTAACATGCATGTGTCTGTAGAGCTGCCTTTGAGGGAACCCGTATTACCCTCCGTCAGGTCTCCCCGGAGTCTGAGCCTATTTACGACCTCATTCTCGAGCTTCATCGGGCCTGTGATGGAAACTGGTCCGAGCTCGCTCAGAAGACCAATGTCAGCGATGAGCATCTACGCTACTTCTTGGAGTATGCAACCCAATTCCTTGGGAACTGTGGTAACTACAAGGGTTTCGGAGACTCGAAATTCATTCCCCGACTCCCCGTTGAGGCACTCCAGGCTTTAGCTTCGGCCACGCCAAAGACAAAGGCTGCCTTTGACTTGGCCAATTCTACCGGTGGTGGCATCTACGAGACTGATGAGCAGTCCCGCATGCACCTCGGCTACCCGGAGGGCGGACACATGACAACATACTACCCCGACTCACCGTCTATCACAAAGGATGAGATCACGGCTATCGGAGATCTGATGGAGCAGAAAGGATTGCCGTTGGAGAACACGAGACTCAAGAAGACCGAGTCTGGTGACTTCGAACTATTGATCGCATCGGGTGTCTCCTCACCACCTGTGCGGGATAGAGATCTTGGCGATGCCGATATCTTTGAACTGGATGGAAAGCTCAAGGGAAAGACTCTTTGTCTCGTCTTTGGTGACTATCGGGAAGAAATGGCGAAGGTCGCTCATAGCATGAAGCAGGCGGGACTTAATGCGGCAAATGAGAACCAGAAGCGGATGTTGGACGCATATGCCATGTCATTCGGCTCTGGCTCGATTGAAGCATTCAAGGAGAGTCAAAGGATCTGGGTGAAGGACCAGAAGCCGGCTTTAGAGACGAATTTGGGCTTCGTCGAAACCTACAGAGACCCCCACGGTGTGAGAGGAGAGTGGGAAGGATTTGTTGCTCTGGTAAGCGTCACGTCAGAAATCAAAACCCTATCGCTCGGACAGCTAACAGAGCGCCCCAAAACAGGTCAACCTGGAGCGCACACGGGCATTTGGAAAATTGGTAGACAGTGCCGAGGCCATGATCCCCAAGCTTCCTTGGGGTAAGGATTTCGAAAAGGACAAGTTCCTGAGTCCTGACTTCACCTCCCTGGAGGTATTGAGCTTCCAGTCCTCTGGTATCCCGGCTGGTATCAATTTGCCTAATTACGATGATATCCGGCAAAACCTTGGATTTAAGAACGTTTCCCTCGGCAATGTCCTAAGTGCAAAGGCTCCCAACGAGCCTGTTCCTTTCATTGCAGAGAAGGATTTGGAGGTCTACCGTAGATGCCGTGATGCTGCGTTCGAGGTCCAGGTCGGCATTCATGAATTGCTTGGCCACGGAACCGGAAAGTTGCTCCAGGAAACAGCTCCTGGGGAGTACAATTTCGATATCTCCAATCCTCCCATTAGCCCGGTGACGAACAAGCCTATCTCATCCTGGTATAAGCCTGGGCAGACCTGGGGCTCGGTATTTGGAGCGATGTCGTCTTCATATGAAGAGTGCCGCGCAGAGTGCGTCGCTATGGCGCTCAGCTGCGACTTCAGCATTCTGCAGCTCTTTGGCTTCGGTGATGGTAAGGAAGATCTGGCGAACGAGGCCGGTGATGTTCTTTTTGCGGGATACTTGCAGATGGCTCGTGCTGGTCTCGTGGCTCTGGAGTTCTGGGATCCCAAGACGCAGAAGTGGGGACAGGCCCATATGCAGGCCCGGTACAGTATCCTACGTACCTTCCTTGATGCTGGAGGCGACTTTGTCAAGCTCTCATACACTAAGGATGACCTGTCCGATCTGGAGATCCACCTGGACCGTTCCAAGATTCTGACTCATGGTCGTCCTGCTGTGGAGAAGTACCTGCAGAAGCTGCATGTCTACAAGAGCACTGCAGACTTCGAAGCGGGCAAGAAGCTTTATGACGATATCACGTCGGTCGATGAGTGGTGGGGTACCAAGGTCCGCGAGATTGTTCTCAAGAACAAAATCCCTCGCAAGGTCTTCGTGCAAGGCAACACCATCTTGAATGGGGATGAAGTAACTCTCAAGGAGTACGAGCCTACGCTTGAGGGTATGATTCAGAGTTTTGTGGAGCGTAATGTTTGAACGTAAGGCGTTGAGGACGAGGCCGGAGGAGCATTAAACGGTTGATCAATAACGCTGGATACTCCAGGCTCTCCTCTCTGCATGGTGGTACATATTGGGTGGAAATGTGGCACACTGCCTGCTTTAGTAGTATGGATTGGATCTATCAGGCATGCATCATCAATATGACTTGCATATAATCAGACATCTTTATCCTACCATCTACATCATATGTTTTACTGACTTGGTAACCTGTGCTCTGTCGGAAATGAGAGGGATCGCCCACTTTGACAGTCAGCATCCCCTACCAAATATTCGAGAGCTTAGTTTCAGGTTTTTCGACCGGAAGTAAATTGAGGCAAGCTTTTTGTAGACAGTGCATCACGTAGATACTAATGACTGCCAGGTAATGATTGCTGGGCATCAAGCTGGGAGGGAGCGGCGGCGGGAGCGATCAGCCAATACGCGTAGTCGAGAGCAGTCGGTGGATCAAGTGCCGCCTCCTCTTTCCTCCTCCCTTTAGCAACGGCGGATTCCAGGCTCTCTCGTGCCCTGTAAGCGCTTCGTCTCATCCTCGTTCTCTCTCCTCTTCCCTTTAACCTCCTCCACCCCCACAGTCTCAACATCTTATCATCTTGGCTGCGGTCGCATTCTCATTGTTACTTCTTCTTTTTCTCTTTGTTGTTCTGTCGTACTCTTCAGGATAGAATCCGATTTGGACCAACCAAACCTGCCCCCTAAGTTCCATGTTTGAGCGTCTCTAGAAACGCAACGGAGGGCTCCTGAGCGACTCGAGCAACCCGGGGTCTGGATTTACTCCGGCCAAGGCCCCTTCTCAGTGGGGTTCACCTAGCTTCCGGCAAACCAAAGGACAAGACGGCCTTCTCTCAGCATCAGTCTACAACTCCCGACACCTTGTCGTGGTCACCGAATTCTTCTGGCTCGCCTCCCACGGCGCGGCCGTACCAGTACACAGACTCCGTAGCGGAGGAGGACGACGACTTCTATACTGCGCCACCGCCGCCGCATTCCCCATCCTCGGAGGCTTCTTCCTCTAGTTTCACTTCGTCGCGCCCTCCCCCTTTTTCGTCCCTTGTCTTCGCTCCGGCGACCGATTTCAATCGCGGGAAGGCTACCTTCTCCCCACCTGAATCTGCCTCCGCTCCAGCCTCCGTTCCACTTCCCCCCGACGAAGAGTCTCTCGCCCCGAGCCCTTCTTCATCCTTAGTCGCTGAAACTAAGGCGTCTTTCTCCCGGGACCACAAGCCGGAATCGTCAGGAAAATCTGCGGAAGAGGGAGAACCTCCTCCGCCGTATACTGAAGGATCCAGTCCTATCGAATCGTTCACATACGTGATGGCTGCAGCAGGAGGAGCGTCGAGCATCATCACGCAGGTGCAGCAGACCGGCGGGCCGCCGATCAATACATTAGGAGGTACGAAGGCCATTTGCCATAATGTCTGAGAAAGGCCTTTCCTTGGCTGACTGCTTTGCATGGATATTAGATATCGGTGGAGATGAACATATCACTCTTGATCTCCGGTGAGAACCCTCTATCAGCCCTCAGTCAAACTAGAGTCTTAGACCTAACCAAATTCGCAGGGGAACCCGTTTTACCCTCTCCCGAGATGAGCTGCTGACTCTCCCCGAGTTTGTCCTTTTGTCACTTTTTCCGAACGGTCTACTCCCTGATGGGCACATGGGTACCTTCCATGAAGGCGACATCTATCCGGTCGACGTGAGTTAACAGTCGTTCCTCTACTATGCACCTTCCACCGCCGCTGTTCTCCCTATACCTTGCCCAGGACACGTCTCATTATTTCCCACTTTTTAGTACGATCCGGCGTCTCTGCAATATATGCTAGACTTCTTCCGATCGGTTGCTCAATCCATCCCGTCATCATCACCATCTGCATCGACCTCTCCGGACCTGGATGTTGCTCCCGACTCCATGCAAGGGACTGCTAGGGATATGCTTCAGGACCGTGCTGGTATCATAGTGTTGCGCGAAGATCTCGATTTCTATGCGATCCCACCTCGCCCAGATATAGACCAGGCGGAGATGATCGAGGTCAAGCGCGCGGCTGCAAAAGCATTGTTAAAACAAGACGGGATATTTTCTGGGCTGAGAAAGAGCGACGAAGCCGGCTCGACAGAGCAGCATCTCATAGAGATGCTTACTGCAGGGTGAGTTGACTATTCCCACTCATTACCCCAATAGGCGATACAAAGAATGTTTTTCGAGACTAATTGATCGCAGTGGGTTTGATCGTGACGACCGATGGGGCCACCGGGCCCCAGAGCCCAACAAGGCGGTAATATGCAGCCTGGCTCTGGCCAAGTTGCGTACCGACATCCGGGGCGACCTGTCGAACAACAACGCAGTTGGCATGGCTCAGAAGCTCCTTCTATTCTGGAGGAAACCAGCCAGGAGATGCTGGTGGGAAGGAGTTGAGCTGGATGATGTGGAGGGAGTTGAAGGCAAAGTGAAAATTTGGATCCGTAGAGTATGGACTCTAGAGATGGTGAGTTTACCTTTACTGTTATCATATTTCCAAGATCTAACCAATATTTGCAGAGCGTAATTGGGCTTCGATAGCCTTCTCGCGGCGGTTATATCGTACCAATGGACTTTTTTGGTCTCCGCCGTTATCCTGCGATTTCTTTCGTCCTCGTCGATGCATATTAGAGTCGCTTTATTAGCAGCCCATTCTTTGATTTTTCTCTGCGTTGCCCAGTGCACATTTGCGGAGTTCATGATATCCCCTATATCCCGAGTCTGCATCCGCAGCCTAACAGACAAGAGGGATGGCGTATTCAATTATCATTGGGTACTGTGTAATCCTGTTTATAGTTTTCATTAGCTGGCCGGACCCCATGCATTGATCTGTATTTTCATCTAATTTCATTCCTATCCTGCTTTGTTTTAAACCTTTTTGGCCGCTTAGCCCTCCCTGTTGCTGGGCCTTGACAATGTGAAAGACTCTGTTGCCGAGTTGGAAATCCATATAATGTGTCTCTACAATATACGCAAAATAACACTAGGATTACATCGCAATCGCCCAGGATTTCAATTGCCCTAAAATTGAACTCTGTAGCTCCCAAGTTTTGTGTTCTTACTCTCCAGACAGGTTGCCCTGGATGTCCATCACGTGATCTCATGGCTGGAAGGGGCCTAGCGTGGAAAGGCCGGCAGTTCTGGCAAAACGCGACGAGCAGAAAAGGCGGAGCTCGACCGCGATCACCGTCAAAGAGCAGCTTTGGCTTCAGTTCACCATCCCCATTTCGCAGCCTCAATTCCTGAACCGCGATTTCCTTCAGCAATTGTTCGCTTCAGGCGCTTTCTACCCGCGCAGCGATACCTCGGCCATAACACTCTGAAATCATCGTTTTCAATCCTCTGCTGTCAGCCCTTTCGTCCAGCGAATTGTACGCGGCCCTGTTCGCCGACCGACTTGCGCAGTGTCTGAAAGGGACATGTCCCTGACCAGCTAAATGGCCAACATGTCCCCTCTCAGAGGTTACATCACATCATACCCGCCTCGTGTGCGCCAATATGGCAATGCGCTTCTCACCCCGATCATCCCACCTAGCCAAGTAGGCCCGACTTCACGGACGACCAAGCGAGGAACCGCCGCCATCAATTATGCGGAAGATGGTTACGATGATGAAGACTTTGAGGACAGCGAGGGACCTCGGCGGCCAACTGGGCTAAGGAGCCTTCGACGGGAGGAGTCAACGTTCGACAAGGTGCCGCTGGCGGAGAAGCTGGGGAAAGAGATCCACGCCCCTGTTGAGGTCCAAGGGGTTTTTCGCGATTGGATGATCAAGAGGATGTTGCGACCAGCGTATGTGCCGCTCAGTCTGATTCCTTAAGCGTTTCTAGTTTGCCTCTGTGTTTTTCCGGCATTTGTTATGGTACTGACTTGGAGTCTTCTCCCTTCGCACAGTTGCGCCGATCAGCTGCAAATTCAAGCGCAGCTCCCTCTTACCCTTATACCTATCCGAATTGATCTGGAGGTCCCAGCGCATCAACCTTTAGAACCATTCCCTTTGCCGCGAACAGTCCTCGATCCCAGTATCAACCCTACCTTGCCCGCCTACAGACGGCCAGAGGCGCTGCCTGCCTATCGCATCAAAGACACGTTCCTTTGGAATCTTCACGAGGCTCTTGCGACTCCCGAAGAATTCGCCGTAGGGTTCGTTCGCGATATGGATTTACCGAATCCACAGGCCATGACGATGGCTATTAGCAACCAGATCCGTCAACAATTGGAAGAATATGCCGGCGTTGCCCTGCATCCTTTATTCCAGAGCGTACAGCCAAAGCCCCCAGCTCCGCAGATTGGCCTGTCACGAGATGTATCTGCTACACCAGTTTCCACCCACGCCGCGACACCTGACAGCAGACCTAACCAGGTAACGGTGACCAAAGAGCCTCTCGTGAACGACAGCATACTAAACCCGGACGACGCGTATCGGTGCATGATCAACTTGAATATCAACTTGCAAAATAAGCTTTACACGGACAAATTTGAATGGTCTCTATTGCACCCTCCAGGCATGGCAGAGGAGTTTGCCAGGATTACGTGCGCGGACCTTGGTCTGGGTGGGGAATGGGTCGGAGCCATTGCGCATGGCATCTACGAGGCCGCTCTGAGACTCAAAAAAGAAGTATGCGAAAGTGGTGGACTTATCAGCGGCATGGGTGGTTATGGTAACGAGATCGACAATCAAGCCGCCAACGGCGCGGAGGCGGGCTGGCGTTACGATCCCGAGGGACTGGGCGACGAATGGGAACCTAAAGTGGAGACACTGTCAAAGGAGGAAATCGAGAAGCGTGAGGGTGATCGCGAACGTCAGATTCGTCGTCTACGTCGAGAGACGGCCAGATTCTCCTCCACTGCGGGCATAACGCCCGACGCCTCCCGACAGGGCAGTGGGTACTTTGACGTCGACAGTGAAACGCCGCTAGGAAGAGGCGAACGGAGCAAACGAAAGAGACGATTCCGCAGTCTGAGTCCCTCGGGGAGAGGAGGAACCCCTGGAGGACGAGGGACTCCGGACACTGGTTCAGGAGCTGGCTATGGTGGAGGTGGCGGTACACTTGCCGACTGGTTTGTCATACCTTTGATATCTCTTCATAGTGCGCATACTGACCACCTTCTTTGTTCGATAGGGAGCGTCAAACTTGGAGATGCACCAACTGTATGGTCTGGGGTACGGCCGTTTGGGCCGTACGAGATGGCCCGGCAGGCCCAAGAGTAAGATCTATATGCCACATCTCTAACTAACTACATGCTGACTTAACTGCGACAGACTCTCTGCCACAACTGTGGTCTATTGTACGAACGAGACAAGGTGGCCCCCGAGTGGTCCAGAGATCTACACCGTCACGATATGCCCATCGGCCGGTAGTAGACTTGGTGGATTGCATAAGCGTAGATGTTTCTCTTTGACCCCCGGCTCTACGCTCTGTACCTATACGGCAGAAGTGAGATCGATCCCTCTCCCTGCTACGATACCTCAAGCAGGGGTCAGAGCCAGAGTCTGATTCCATGTTGTTTTCTTTCTCTCCACAGGCCGGCTATTTCGTGACATATCCTACGAAGTATCCCTGACGTGATGAATCCTCGTCGAAAAAGGCCCCCAACCTCCCACCAGCCTGCCTTGTGTTTTCCCCGTGCCAAAACAAGCACATCACACACCCCCAGTCAATGTACTATCTGATTGATGATATCTCTAATGAACCTCTATTCTATAGTTGGGGCAGGCGTTTCTCATTATTTCCATACTTTCAAACTTCTTAACTACTTTCCATTACCTTTTACTTTTTACTTTCTTATTCTCCCTAATATGTTCTTCTTGATGGATTGGTACCTACCCTTGCTTCTCTGGCGATAGGTCTGGGCCACTTTTATTTCATTCTCCATCATGTTTGGTTGGGTTTGTAGGGACTCTAAAATATTCGGTGATCAATTCTATTTTACTTTTGCTTTAGTGTGGTGTTGGTCTGTTTGGGCTGGTATACTACGTTACGAGGATCTGGTGGGCACTTTTCTCTTTCTTTTTCTCTTTTTTGAAGTATGTATGATGTTCCTGCCTATTCTGGTTTTATTGTCCTCTTTGTGTGGGCGATCAAACTGGAGTTTTATGTGGTAGCTACTACCTAGCTACCTCAGTAGTCTTGCTATCGATTGATGTGTTGTATGATAGTTTCGTCGTCATAGCAGAAGGTACGAAGAAAGTTTATATGTTCGGAAATTTATTTGTCTTGAATAGGTTACTATTGACTGTATTGTTGTGTAACTTCATACTCTGAATATAAGTACTCTATTAGACAGCTGCGGTTGGCCCTAACTAACTCTGGATATATATATATATATATACGAGGGGTGCTCCTTTCAACCATCATCATCCTAAAAACAAGACCACACGCGATGCAAACCAACTCAAAAACACACGAACACGATGACATTCTATTCGAAGAATCACAGGCAATCTAAACTAAACTAGTAGAACTAATAACTATAATCCGCAAAGAAGTTGCTATCTATCTTTGTTATTATATATCATCAATCTACTCCATTACTTCCCCTTCCAGCCAGTCGTATTTCATGTCCCACCTAGCATTATTAAGCCCATCAAAAAGAAAAAAGAACAAGGAGTAAACAAAATCAGATAAAACCACAAACAAGACACACAATAAGACAAGAGGTAAAGAGAAGATGAAAGAGTACACACACACACACACACACACGCACACGCACAGAGCGAAAAGGTCACTCCGCCTTCCATCTACTACAACTACCCAATCAACTCCATACCACGCGCCAGAGAAGAGAGAAGAGGTAAGCACACTACCGCGCCCTCTTAGCAGCAGTAGTAGCTACCTCCAGGGGTTCCTATATTCCCAGAAAATCAAAATAATTAGCCATAAGCCCACAACCCCATACAACCATTTCCCAACGACAAACCAAGCGAAAACAATTCAAGGAAAGGAAAAAATACAAAACTTACAGAAGAAGCCCTCCTCTTCCTCCTCGGCACATTCATCCCCATTCCTCTTTGTCCACCCATTCCCACACAGATTACATTCCCACTTCCCAGGATTTTGATCCCGGTGTTGATATTCAGCGTAACAGATGGCGATGGCGATGTAATTCTATCTGTTGCTGCACTAGAGTGGTCCGTAGGATTGGAATCAGAATTGAGATGACCTGTGCGATGCAAAGCAGTAATGATAGATGTGGCCATGTCTGTCAATTTGGAATGGCGCTGGTATGGGGTTGATTGTGGGACGGTAGAGGTGGATGTTGAGGATAGAATGGGAGCGGGTGATGCCTTGGTATTGAGGGCTGATGCTGGAGCTGGAGCTGATGGGAGTATAATGCTATTTGCGTTGCCCTGAATGCTCATTGATGCGTCGATGTGGATGGTTATGAGGCTGGGTTGGTCTGTCTCCCCATGAGAGGAGGCATCTTCGGCTTCAAGTTCATTTTGGGGATTGTGAGCGGAAGGAGAGTATGGAGGTGGCGGTGTAATGGTGTTTGTTTGGTCGGTATTTCCTTGTGATTCGACTAAATTGTGGGATTGATGGACGATGGATGCAGATGGTGGAAGCATTGTGAGTAGAAATCGGTCTGACAAGCGCTAGAAGTCATAGAGAAGGATGCAAAGATTGGTATAGATGTGATGCACTGTGGCAACGAAAGACTGTCCTACGGAATGGAGACCGGGCTTAAAAGAACAGGATGAAAGGATGGGTGAAGAGAGTTTTTGGTTGGGATTGGTCACTGTCGCTAAGAACAATAGCATGCAATTGACATAAATAAACGCCATCACAAAACATCTATCCAGGTGACAAGGATGCATCATTAAACGAACTTCTCTCGACACCATCCACTAGCAGGCGAAAGCGACACCTCATTGCGCCAGAATGGCTTAGGAATGCATCACACAGCTCGTAACGGTCAACATTGTCTCACAACAATGCCACCTGCGTCTCGAATTGACGTGCTCTGGCTGTGATATTGTTCTCCCCCATCAATAGGCGGAATAGGGTCACGTGTCGATTCAGAGACAACAAGGGTCCCTGTGCGGTGCCACCCCGGTGTTTTAAAGGATGAACAGAGCATCTGAATAGACACAGCCAATTCGGACGGATTAGAGTCTGACACTTCCAACCAACAAGGACTGCTCGGCACTTGCGTGATCCCGACAGACCATGAATCAACCGGCTAGTCCGATACATTCCCTTTCCTAGCCCCAAGAACTGAATGGGAAAGTCAAATAATTACTTTAAGCCCAGCGGTCCCCATGATGCCAATCCCCGTATACAGAGTAATCACCGCTAGGGCCGAAGCCACCAGGTGAGCTTTCCGGATTATTTCCACTTGTGATTGAGGTGGAGTTTCCTTTAGACGAAATCCCATGCATGGCGCCTATTCGGTGAAACCCGGTTAGCTTTTCCAGCCTATCATTCTGATCCATCATGCGAAGTAATAATAGGCCGCCTGGCACGTCACAAACTTACTCGTAGTGTTGGGTGTAGCGTCTCCGCGGGCATGATGGTCCGTATCTCCTATTGTCTGCCCTTGCCGTGCTTTCCGACGTTCCGGATAATATTTGCCGCCTGGGTGCAATGGATGCGGAATCTAGATACTGATTAGCAGAAACAAAGGCCGGCGCGCAGAGACTTGATTATACCAGCGTTCGTTCCACGCCAGCCGAATTTGATTTCATTTCACGGACTGCTGGTACTGACTTCGCGAAATTCATCCCCCTCGATCTGAACCTCACGGTCGCGAATGCGGCGCATCAAGGCAAGGAAGTTGCTTTCTCTGAACTTCTGGCTTTGATCATATTTGACACTGTCTAAAAGCTGCCCCGCAGTTCGGGCGAGCTCGTCCGCATCATTCACCCGTGCCTGTTGATCGTTCTTCTCGGTCTGGGGAATGGTATCCGACCCTATCTTGATCTTCTCTTCCGTGCTTTCAGCCGTAACATAATTCGTCTCTTCCACGACTTCCTCAGCGTGAACAGGTGCAGTCTCGGTTTCCTGCGACATCATGTCTGCCCGTGCCTGCTCAAATGCAGCTTCAAACGCCGATTCATCAAATGTGTCGGCCATCGGTTGCTGGTTTGCTGCGGTGGCTTGCGCAGGGGGGAAAGCAGCACCAGTCATAGGGAAGCGAGGTGCAAAGGTTGGCTGAAGCCCTTGGACATGTGGCTGATGCTGCTGGAAAGAGGGTCGTTGCTGCTGAGCGAACTCATTCTGCCAACCCTGTTGTGACATGGCTGCCATCGGCGCTACAGATGGTCCTGATGTTTGATGGAAAGAATGCGAAGGTCCCGATATATGCATATTCTGAAAGTCTGCCGCCCAGTTTGACGATTCTGCCGGGCCTGATACGGGGAAATGCTGAGAGGGAGGAACGAAAGGGCCGGCATGCTGTACATCGGGAAGCGGCGCTCCTGCTAGACCGGACTCAAATGCGGCAAACTCGGGATCGAGAACCCCTTGGCTTGAATTTTGAGATCGAAACCCCTGGTAATTCCATGAGTACAATGCGGCAAAACACGCTCACGGCGAGAGACTCACTTGAGAAGGCGATTGTCGAGAAATGATTCTATCTTGCTGAAGGGTACGATCAACAGATGCATGCTTCTGGAAGTTCTGCAGCGCATTCGAGGGACCACACAGAGCATCACTCATGGTGCCGACTAGGTTGAACACGAGCTGAGAGAATGGAGCGTGTCGGATTGCTTGCTGTGTTGAGGGGAAGAGGATATACAATAAGCGTAGTGAACAGGCAACTGGTAGTAGTATTTAGGAATGCAGGATGTATATACAAGAACAAGCAAAGAAGTGAGTCCAACAGAAGACAAGAAGATAATGAGAGAAGGCAAAGGCAAGTAAGAGAGAAGTAGTAGTAACAGCCAAGGAGACCAGAGAACAGGCCGCGGGGCAGAGCGACCGAGGACTACCGAGGCCCCCGGATCACGTGTATATGAGCATGACTGGAGATGGCTGACTGAGCCGATAAGATAAGATCGGGCTGCGGCTGACTTGCGAAACGGACAAGCTGGCGGTGTTTTGCTGCTGCTTCTCCTGTTGCGTGTTGATTCGGCCCTCCACCACCGCCTTCTTACCCCCCCAAGAACGCCCCTAATACTCCCCGGCAGGGCCACCCACGAGCTCACGTCCCTGTTTACCCTATAGAGTCGATCTTAATTCCGAGCAAAAAGTTGATCAATATGGTATGTCCCCCAACTCCCCCCCAATGGTCTCAGGCGATTTGCCCATGAACATTGCTAACGTCCAGGCAACTAGGCTGCTCAAGTAATCTCCAATTCCGGACACGATGAGATGATTGTACGTGAAGCGAGACAGCTCCTCATACGCCATCGTGGCAATGGCTTCGACCCTTTCTGTGTGGTCCCTGAGACTGACCGCAGCGCATAGCACGATGCCGGCCTGGACTACTACGGCCGCAGATTGGCAACATGTTCATCGGACAAAACGATAAAGATATTTGAAATTGAAGGAGAGACACATCGGTTGATTGAGACATTGAAGGGGTGAGGATCCAGAACTCCCTGGTGATCTTACGCGCCATCGATTCTAACAACCTTCGGCCGTGTGTGAACAGACATGAAGGAGCTGTGTGGTGTGTGGCTTGGGTACGTCATAATGGCATTCTTTGTCAAGCTGTCCTAGTGAACTATCTATCTGACTCTGGACTTCTCTAGGCACACCCTAAGTTCGGAACTATCCTCGCTTCCTCTTCGTACGATGGAAAGGTGCTCATCTGGCGCGAACAACACCAGAACGCCACGTCACCCGTCGCTGGCGGCGCTTGGACGAAGGTGTTCGACTTCTCTCTACACACCGCGTCAGTGAACATGGTATCCTGGGCTCCGCATGAGAGTGGCTGTCTCCTGGCTTGCGCCTCCTCAGACGGACATGTTAGCGTTCTCGAATTCCGTGATAACAGCTGGACTCACCAGATTTTCCACGCCCACGGTATGGGTGTGAACTCTATCAGCTGGGCACCTGCCGCCGCCCCTGGCAGCTTGATCAGCTCCAACCCTGGACCGGGCCAGCAGCGGAGATTCGTCACTGGTGGAAGCGACAACCTGCTTAAGATCTGGGACTACAAGTATGCATCATGAGCCGCTACGCACTGATACTGTGCCCTTAAAGTGAACTAAGCTGACCCTTACACTCCTCTGCAGCCCGGAAACCAAGACCTACAACAACACGCAGACTCTGGAAGGCCACTCCGACTGGGTCCGGGATGTCGCTTGGTCGCCTAGCGTTCTTTCCAAGTCCTACATCGCCTCTGCCTCTCAAGACAAGACAGTCCGGATCTGGACTTCCGATGCGTCAAACCCTGGCCAGTGGACCAGCCAGCAACTCGAGTTCGACACTGTCCTCTGGCGCGTCAGCTGGAGCCCTAGTGGAAACATCCTTGCTGTGAGCGGTGGCGATAACAAGGTCAGCTTGTGGAAGGAAAACCTCAAGGGACAATGGGAGAAGGTAAAGGATATCGAGGAGTAGGCTTCAGATTTTCATTTTCCTTAAGTTTCAACTTTCATATCTCATGTGTGATAACGGATAAATTGGGTTCCTGCCATGTATTTCATCCGACCCCGACGTTGTCAAAAATCAAAAACGAGCTCAAAAACAGGCAAAGCATCATCTTTTCCAGAAGATAAACGGACCCTTGTCCAGCGTCTCCAGCAGATCTACCCAAGTTCCGATCATTATTCTACCTTCCGGTAGGATCACACCCTCGTAAACCTGTACTAAGTAGAAATCAGACTCAAAGTCCGGTGGCGGCCATTTTGCCTCGAAAAGCCATGCGTTCTCATCCAGAGCGGGTTCTGTGCCATCATTAGCAGAAGGAACGGGCGGCTGCTCTTGATCCCATTGATATATCACGAAGCAAATGCGATGCCAGCCAGAGAAGCCCCCTTGGAAATCGGCGATTGGTTCACAGAACCCTCGCACCAGATCCGGGGGGTGAACGACGTAGTCAGGTGTTCTCCGTATTCCACGAATATATGATCTTTCGAAGTTCAGAGGATCAAGAGGAACTACTGATTGAAGTATAGGTGGCCAATTCAAGGGGTTGGGATCGGGTTTCACTAAAAGAGACTACACAGCAGGCATTGAATCAGCTGAGTTCCTTTTTCTGGAGTATTTCGTGCAATACCTGAAACCGAACTTGTGCACAACTAGTATCCAGATCCGCGCATGTCTGGCGATCCTCGAGGATCTTCAGAGATCTCGGGTATGGGTGCACGCATGCTACACACAAGTTAACACTCGCTTATCTTGATGGTATGGTCGGATAACAGGTGAGTGACTGACATGCATAACCCATCCATGGCAATTCATCATCAGAAGGCGCAAGCTCACCCCATGATCTGGGCTTGTAGCGTGGAGCCAGGTTCATATAAGAAGCGTGAAAGGTCGCTTCAGTCGGGCAGAGAAGATGACGAAGCCAGAAGTTGCGTATGTGAAGTAACTTCTCCAGGTCGAGCTTGTTTTCAAGCACAATTGGTCTGCTGTTCTCAGCCCTGTAACCATAGACGACACCAACGTCATAGTCTGTCCTCAGGCACTGAACAGACATTAGAGGATCCAGAGCTAAACCGGTCAGGCACTGTCAGAATCAGTTTCTACGCTCTCTCCTATACGACATCTGTGGTGCTTACCAACTGGGTTGCACAGAAGAGATCGGAAGGCGGGCCTGCATCCTTCTGACTGTAGCCGCTAACGGGCCTGTTCAGAAGTTCAGAGTTGGAGAGTATGTCTCGAATCTTCTGGTGGTTCTTAGAAGTATATGGCCCATTCGATTCTAGAAGCCAGTATGATTCACGTAGCATATCTCGTAGGACTTCCAGCCAGAGAGTCTGCGCCTCCTTTTGGCCGAATTTGAAACTGATGGATTGTGAGAGAACAATGGCTCGAATTTGATACTCAATTTTGACTTCATTGGAAGCATACTGTCGAGTAACATCATAAAGGTCAATGAAGCGGCTTCGCCAAATGGAAGAATGACCCGGCAGTGTTTTTGCTGCTAGCCAAGGGCAGCATTGGGCGAAATTTACTATATCGATGTCGCGAGGTAGCAAGCAAGCAATATACTGAATGATCTATGCACAACCTTAGCAGTGCAATCATTTTCCAATGGTTATAGCAGGAACTGTCACCTCTGTGGGCAAGCGAAAAAAGGAGTTACGAGAGCAATTTTCCGCCATGGTCGGTACTTGGGAGCTCATCTTCGTCAGGCTTTCTTGTAACTGAGGATGCCTATCAGAGGCTGTACAGTAGTGACAAGCCGCTTGCCTTATGTTCACGAGCCACGCAGGAAGATGTTTAGGATGATGGATTTACACTTTCCTCCGCGGATGTATACGGAGAGTCAGAGAAGGCCGCTGTGCTTAACTTATATAGCTCCCATAAGGACTGAGGGTGAGGAGGGATTGAATAAAGAGCGAGTCGGTGTGTAGTTCTCCTGTCACGAGATTACGTTTCAAACCTTAGTATGACAACCACTTTATGCTCGCTTGGATGATGGTACTGCTACATGCCAACCCAGAGTGATATAGCTCTCTTCGAGATGAAGTATACGCAGCGTATTCGAGATGGGGGACAATGCTCTGTCAGTTTGACCTCACTACGGTAGGCCTTGCAAGGCGGAAAGGAGTGCATACAGAAAATCAGCTACCGGAGGTAAGATGTGCGCTTCTTTAGGTCAAGTAATGCATAAATAATACTTCAATCTAGATCCAGAAAATAAATCTTGAAACGCAGGCTTGCGGTTGATGACAATGTCTATAAAGTCCGCACGCGGGCCACGTATGAGCAGAAGCCAACCCCTTAGCTCACGCCAGGACGACCACGACGTCTTCTAAGGCTTTCCTGAACACCCCAGCCATCTGCTAAAAGTTCCTTGACTTCCTCCAAGCGAAGCCCACTCATCTCGGGATAGATAGTGTAAATACCAAACCAACCGAACACGCATACGGCCGCATAGGCCGCGAATGTCCATCCAGGAGAGAGCCATTCCATCATAGGCAGGAAAGTTAGACCGACAACAAAATTTGACCCCCAATTCGTTGCGGTAGCCAAGGCTGATCCCAAGGAGCGTACATTCAAGGGGAAGAGCTCTGATTGCTGCCAAGGCACGTTTCCAAGTCCGAAAGCATAAGCTCCCACATAAACGGTGAGGCATATCAGGATAACAACAGGGAGGAAAGCGCTATCACTTGTGGCATCTTCCGCCCGTACCCTCGACTCCGGGTTTGGCATCTCGACTGAGCCGAACGTAAAAGCGCAGGCAATGAGGGAGAGAGCCATCACTGGCACTGAGTACAGGAGAATGCGGCGTCGACCAATCCTATCGATAAAGGCAAATGCGAGTAAGGTGAATAAGAAGTTGGTCAGCGCCACTGACAATGACACTAGAGTTGGGGACGAGAATGACAGCATGGAGAAAATTGTCGCTGAGAAATACATGAGGCTGTTGAATCCACACAGTTGTTGTGTGGCTTGCAGCATAACCGCTATGATCAATGCCCTCCGATTACCACCGACGAGGACCAAGTGGCGAGCACACTGCGTAACGTTCGTCAGCCACTGCCAGTTTCCTGTGGAGGGCTTGTTTGTTTGAGTTAACTCTTCCTCCTCCTCGGCCACTTCTTGCTGGATATCCCGCATAACCTGCTTGGCCATGAGGCCACTGTCGTGATGGCTCCCATAAACCCGGGAGAGGACTTTCGTAGCTTTCTCTTCGAACCCTGCCTGGACCAGCCAACGAGGGGTTTCTGGAAGAGTCAAGACTATGAAAAATTGAAAAATTGCTGGGAGCATTCCAATGCCAACAATATAACGCCAGCCTCCAGATACAGAGGAAAATAACCAACCGATGATATAAGCAACGACTTGTCCGCCTGTAATAAAGAGACTCAGTATCGTCACAAGCCTTCCTCTAGCATGGGAAGGCGCCAGCTCGGAGATGTATCTGTTGCCATGTTAGACAAAAGGTCAACTAAATCCCTCTAACTATACTCCGTGGGGGGGGACCCCTTTAGCAAGGACTAGCAAGGACTGAACATACAATGGAGTCACCAGACTTGCTCCACCAACAGCCAGGCCAACAATGCTTCTTCCAACTATCATGCCCCATACTGCACTTGCGACAGCTTGTATCAAAGCGCCGAGGGTGAAAAGCACGTCTGCAACGAGAATAACCTTTCTGCGACCGAACTTGTCTGCCAGGATTCCCGCTAGCGGACTCGCAGTCAAAGCGAACAGGCTGGTGCAGGACGTTACGAGACTCTTGTCCAAAGTCGTTAGAGGACGGTTAGAGAGGTCGGAGCCGATCGATACTAAGGTTGCGGAAATGACACCTGTGCTTCAAAAGGCAGAGTGTCAGTATAACGGATGACAGCAACCAACTCTCTACTTGGAGTTGTCGTCGATGGGAAGGCTATCCAGATCGGACCTACTCGTAACCAAATAACAACCCACTTATGCCAGCGGAGAAGGTCAGAGCGTAAATGAACCACCCGTTTGATTGTTCCAAGTTGGTAGTAGGCTTCGGCCCATTGCGACCTTCATATTGGGGTTCCTGGTCTATCCGGGGCTCGGAAGGGAGCAAGGGAGCATTGGGGTCAGACGGCTCATTGTCGTCCCTGCGATTCATGGCTTAAGGTTGTATAGGTTCTATACGGGTATCTATATCAGCCATTCCAGGCACGATTATGACTCGAGCTTCCAGCTATACCCTATCTTTGGGGTATACTAGATTGTTCGGGAAAGGGGGTTCTGGAATCTGGAGAAGTGGTTGCGGGTTTAGCTCAGGCACGGGGTAGACACTTTACATAATAAGGCTGACAGCTCACGCGACCCACCGCCCCCATACTCAACAGTGGCGCAGCCGGATCTGGATACAACATCATGTAAAGAAGGGAACACTTTCTTGGATCTCATAGATTCAGGTCATTAATTCAAAGCGTTCCTATGCTATCTCTGATGGTATACTGTTGGGCGACCTGGTAAGTTTGTCATTATTCATCACGAGCAGTCCCAAATCAGATTGATGGCATTCATCTGCAACGACATGGAGTACATGTGAGCGTATCCCACGCACGTTGATTAACCAAAGCGCAGCTGAAAGCCTACCGATCAATATTCCTCGCACATGAAAAGTCGAACCGTACCCATCTCATACGCAAAAAAACTCGTATGGTCAAGAAATCTACAATTTAACAGTCTGATAGGCCATTATCAGGACATACTCAATGTCCATACGTGTGTGAATGATGCAGCTTGAGTATATCAATGCCACATTATTCTAGCTAAAAATACAATAATCAGGATAATGTCTTGGTTACGAAGAGCGCTATGCCCCTGTGGTTGGTCTTCTGTAGAATGGGATACAATAGATAGACAGGACACAATAAAACCAAGACAAACACCCATCTTACAAAATCCAAATCTTCTGCTTCGAGCCAGGCCACCTACCTTACTCTCTCGGTGTCCTTAGTATCTCCTGCTGCCCAGTATCCATGCATGTGGGCAAGGTTGTCTTGCTATATCGCTGATATCGAAGGTTTTATGCCTGAGCGAGAGAATTTTCTCATGATGGCAAAAGCTGAAAGTGGATAAGGCCCGAATAATAATCAGATATGGCACACTCTCATTAAGGCTCTGAAGAGCTTTTTACTATCTATAGATATTCTGCTTGTCGAAGCTATCGGCCTCACAAATCCCAAACACTGATAGGATGCATCTATCGGGTATTATCACAATGCATGTAGTACGAAAAGATGCTATAGTTACCCCCGACTGGCAGGCCCACGAATGGACAGCTCCGAAATACCCACGGTCTATGTCTCCATATCACTAGTGTCCGAGTTGGAAACGGGGCTCAGATAGATTGTGTTTGATATATTGATAAGTGCCTCGAAAAACCAATTAGGCTTCAGCGATGATAGTTGAGCCAGAAAGTTTGGGGCGATATAATAACTTGGAGATCAGGCGGTATGAATTTCTGCTCTTTAAGAAATAGTGCAAGCTGGGCTCAAGCTGCCATATTATGTTGGCTTTGGTCGAGTAGCTTCGATACATGCTCACCGAGCAATTGATTTGGAGTGCTCATATAGTCTCCTGTCATTGAGCATCTACCAATGATACGTTCGTCACTGTACTCGTGAGCCTAGTAGTTCCCCTCCAATGCACCAACTCTGAAGTTACCATTTTCCAGTGCTCCAAGGCTTTAGGTACCATGGTTCCCTCGGAATCACGGATCTCTTGCTACAATGTTTGGATGCTGCTAGTAGCGCCTGGTTCTTATTCATAGCACACGAGTGAAGGTAACCCTGTGAAGCCTCTGGTCTTCTGTTCCAACTGTCAATGCTGTTTTGCATGACTGCTTGGGCCCTATTGCCTCGCAAAGCCTAGATATGGTAGTCTGAGTATAGTGGCATAATCTTTTGACTCGTCTTTTTCCCACTAGGTATCTAGGTGGCGGGTACCAGCGCCTCGTTGCGAACCAACAGGTCGAATGTATGATTTCATTGGTTCTAGTATCTTGCGCCCCATCTGTGTTGGTACAAAGTTGTTTTCCCAGCATGATTATATCATCGTGTTTAGCTTACCGCCCCGGTTTTTCGGGCACGCCTCCGTAGGCCCCGCGTAGTCGGTGAAGGAGCATCAACTTTGCCAGCTCACGTTCCTCCCTCTCGGCAAGCGCAGGCCTTGAGAGGTTAGCCCGAATGCAGCAGAAAAATAGCCGGAGTAGTGTGCACATAGACAGTAGCTAGCACTCGAATAAGGGCGTGGTAGATTGCCATACCGGTGTACCTACAGGCCAGGATGCTATGTTAATCTATCAAACTTAGAATTCTCTGGCTGATCACCTGCAGTAAGCAACATCGCACAACCAAATTTGGGCTTGCTTCAGGAGCCAGTTGATTTGGTCACTCATGGTTGCCCCGGCGAGGAGGGGAGAGGGGCTTCAGTTGGCACAACTGCGAGTGCGAGACACTTGCGGAGTACCCGGGTCCTGTACGAAGATGGTTGGTTTGTGATGAGAGTGAACAACGTCCATCGACAGGACCTTGCAAGGATTATCGGGTTTAGCTCCCCAAGATCGCGCGTCAGGAGGCAGGACAGCTGTTCATGGGGCCGTGCAACCCTGGCTAGTGTCGCCAATCAAGGGAGCGAGCGGCACTTTTTGTCCACCAAGTGTGCTAAATCTGGATAGGTCAGTCGCACCGCAGCGCACTATGCACTCCAATCCTAGAAGGCCCGATGGTGAGGATATCATTGGGACAGGGTTATGCCTGCATAGATGCATGAACTTGCCCCTCAGTGTCACCTAGGAGACTATCCCATCAGTAAAGTGCCGTGTTTTTGGAGGCAAGGGCTGGCGGGTGTTCCTGCTTCTGATGGTTTCACACCCACTGAAGGAAGGGGTGCAGTCAGCAAGGATAGTCTTTCTCTTTCTTATCCAATGGGGCCAGGATCAGATTCTGAAACACGGAGACCAGCTTTTGGCAGATTATAATAAGGCCGTCCGGGTGACGGTTGAGAATGAATGAGTAGCAGCGAACGCCAAGAAAGTCGATCAGCACAGCTGGAGGTACCGGAAAGCACACTCTTTCTGAACAAGCCTGCAACAGGAGCAGATAGGCAAGGCTAATCAATAGATGGTGGATAGTGTGCACAGGGGCACGGAATGCTCGCAGCTACGGATCGGACTCCTGTGGTTCGATCGGAATTATCATAGCAATGAATAGCACTGAACGGAACTACTATCTGTCTTGCGTAAACAGGCCCAGAGCCTAGGCAACAATAGCGATACAACAAACAAAGCCTTGACCTAACAACAAATAATTAAAAATGGAGACCTCAAGGCTCTAGCCCGGCCGGCAATCGGCCGGAAGAAATTGTGCCCTTGGAAGCTCGACGCTCGCAGTCCACGTTCCGCTCCGAGAAATTGGATCTATCATCGCGGTCGGCCTTTGTGCTCGATGAGATAAGCTTACTATACACCGTTGACCTGCCAGTTTTGACACATGCGACTGAGAGAATGGCCGATACAGCTAGTTGGCCTCAGAAAATGGCTGCCTTCCCTTACTACATGACATCTTGCTTACGGATCGCAACGCTCGAAGAACATTTCTGCACACGGGTACACTGGGAAATGAAAATCCGTGAGCTCTCGGCCTTTCTCGGAAAATAAATGCGACCGTAGTGGGCTAGATAAATTTTCCTTGGAGAGTTGGAGTCTTCAGACTTCAGTGTCGTCATCCTGGAGACAGGCGGAAGGGAAAAGAGGGTCGGCAAGGAGGAATGAAGGGGATTTTATTTTACTTTTTCTTTTTTCTCCTGATCACATCGGGAAACTTGGATGGATAAAGATGGGTAAAAACAATGGATTGGAAGCGCTAAAAGAGGCAAGGACTGAGAAAGTCTACCCTGGGTAGCATCCCGCTTGTTCCTCTCGGCCCCGTGCCTTGGAACCGGCCGGTTTATGAAAGCTCAGGAACCAGATGTTCTGCCGATGGTTGTTCCAGAGATCGCCAACCTAGATCGCCTCCTCCTTCGCTCCCTTGAATGGCTCGGTAAGCTAAGCAGAGAACGTAAGTAAGAGACTAGATAGCAGTAGCTAGGGATACGAGCCCGGGGCCCCGTGCTATCTGAGAAAAAATTAATAGCATTAATATCTCTTATTATTATTGTCATGAGAGTGACTTTTGCCAGTCAGTCAGTCAGTCAGCCAGCCAGCCAGCCGAAAGCTACTTCCAGTGAAAAAGTGGGGATGGGCATGATGGCTTAGCCGCGTTATAAAAGGGACCCATTGTTTTCATGACTTGGACGGAATCAGCGGTCCTGATCGGTACTAGGTTCGGACGCCAGTTGCGGTCTGATTGCATCATGAGAAAACCAGACTCGGTCACCTCGATCCCATCTCGTGCGGTTTTGGAGCTCTCTGCAGAAGCATCTCCACTATCGAGGTCCTGAGAAAGTTGGAAAAAGCAAACAGGGTGAGATGCTAAATCGAGTCAAAGCATAAAATGGATAAAACCAAGTATAATCTAGCCGCCTTACTAGTAAGTAATATCCCTTCGCACAGGGATAGGACACAACGACACAGGGAGAGAAAGAGGGTTGAACGTCCTCAATGCTTCTTCCAATTATATGGCATTCTGGACCAGTAGGTTCTCATAAAATCTCGGGAAGGAAGGGAGGGAGGGAGGGGGAGGAGCTGAAGATCCCTGGTTTGTTTCATTAGGCCAGCACAGGTTCGGGAATCAGATCCCATCCTCGCCATCAAGTCTCTCTTGGTGGGATCGTGCACGCTAGTGGCCCAGCTGCAGCCGCCGAGGTGCAAGGATCGCGGCTCGCCATGATTACCCAAATACACCGCCCGATGGGTAGATAGTAGTAGTAGTGGACGGTCGGACTACTCCGAACACCATTAGTAGTGTAGTGTGTTTCTGGGTGTGGCCTGTGGACAGTAAGCAGCTGAAGACGAAAGATACTAACTACTACGGTAATTAGTTAGTGAGGTAGTAGGATCATAGACTTACCTGTCTGATCACTCTACCTAGAACAAGGTAAGTGTTTCATTCCCCAGGTTATGTGCATGATTGGATTTCAGCTTAAACAACACACCAGTCTTTTCCTTTGGCTAAGTAGTCCACCACGTCAGTACATTCCCTCCTACATAATACCTGCATGCTACATGGATGGAGTACATGAGCAATGACTTACATAAATACCCTCGTGTTCCTTCTGATTCTGCATTAGAAGGCGTTTCAGGTTTCCTTGGTAGCTATCGCTGTCCACCTGTGAGTTGGTGCCTTTATTCCCCAGGCTGTCAGAAAAGCTCTACGTACTAGATTCGGTCTCAAAATGATTACTAGCTTTATAATACTGAGTAGCAAACCCTTGCACAGCAGCAGCTCCAAGATCCCATCATGATGGCTTGCCTTGTCTATGCTGTGTGGTCCAAACAGGTGTGTGGAAGCTCTTGCGTAGCATACCAGATAAATGAGGTGTGAAAATTTAACGGCTTTTGTGGTGGAGGGATTTTTAATCTTCGTACCGGTTTTTTTATTCTAATACTAAAGGAAAGAAAAGAAAGCACAATTTAACTAATATTTTTTTTTTCTATTTTTCCTGCTTTTCTATGCTCCTTCTTTTACCCTTCCAATTTGTGCTCTTCCCGCTTCCCTGGCTCTAGCCACAATTTATTGGGACTTGCCTTGCGGTCGTGGGTGTGCTGGGGGTGGAACTCCTAGCGTGATCCATTCCTTTCCCAGTGGTTGAGTTTAGACTAGAACCAGAAGAACATCGCCCGTGGGTAGCAAAGCCAGTGACCGCGTCCCACTGGGGCTTTTGTTGATCGATGACCTTGGTCTGTTATTATTACCTCTCTCATTCGCATGTTGCTACTGCTGCTGCTGCTGCTACTATTGCTGCTGCTGCTGCCGCTGCCGCCGCTGCTACTCTACTGCTACTGCTTCTTCGTTTTTTCCCTTCTGCTGTTTGATTTCTTTGGTTTTAATTTTTTCCTTCTTCTCTCCGTTGACTTTAGGACAGTTAAACAAACTGCGGTGACTTTGCGCGGGCCAAAGCTCTAGTCGCTCAGTCTTCCTCTTTAGTCCCTCATTCCTTGACTACATTCCTTTTCGACGATTCCCCCATTCCTTTAGCTTCCTCCTAGCTGGCTCCGACACCCTTTCCCCTCACCCACCCTAAGGTCGCACTGATCGCACGCTGGGATTGTCTTTACAAATAATTAATACTGCTGCTATACTGCCACTGTGGCTTTGTCTTTCACCACCGCAAGGCTAGATCGCGCTCTGATTCCACCTGTCTTCTTTTGAGATGGTGTTTATCTAGATGTGTCGGGCTAGCTGATCCTCCTCGTGCAAGATAATGCAGATGGGTCGTCAACTACATGTGATATCGATGTGGCTAATCTGAGGTTTATGGTGCTTGACACTGTTCTCGGCGCCCTCTGAGAATGGAGCATGTATCAACTGTGAGTTCTGCTCTGTGTCCGATCAGATCTCTTTTGGATCGCATTCGTTTGGTTGTCTTGTCCACTTTGCTGCGGCTACAGGCTCTCTGCCTCGCGCAAATTGGGAGAAGCAAAGCGCTTGACTCAGATTTCGCGTCCTTTATGTTTACAAGTAGTCGCGGCTAACTGGCTTTTTCTTTCTTCCTTTTCGATCAGCTCTGTGCAATTAGCACCGTCGGTATTGCACCAACTGGCTTCGCCTTCGGTCGCGTAGATCGAAGCTCCTCCAGACCAGGCCGATTCCGGAAAAAGACCCTCCCGCTGCATGATCAATGCGCGACAGCGACAGACGATACCGTATCCTTGTCAAATGCAAACCATGTCCCCACAAGTCCCTTTCCATCAGTGACAGCACAATCTCCTCTGGCCGCAGAATTCTTTCGGGGGTCGGAAGATGGTGCGTTCGATACGAGTAAGCCGGGAGAGGAGAAGTCGCGCAGGAAATCATCGTTTGCAGGTGTACGACTGCGACGTCGCGGACAGACCTTCACTGGCCCGCCAAAGCCAGTCTTCGAGAATATTTCCCTCGCTGCGCACATACGACGACCCTCGTCTTCCTGGGTGCGACGCCTGTCATTCCAACCGGAGAAACGCGCTTCATGCCAGACCCCCGTTTCCCCTACATCAAACACGCCCGGTAGCCCGGCCAGCCCTCCCGCTTCTATTCAACGCAGGCCCAACAAACTAGTCAAGCGGCCACCTTCACATCATGCCAACTCTCATTCATTGTCCGGGATCGCGCCATCTTCTCCTTTGACTCCCACCGGTTTTCGCAGGCCTGCTACTAGTCATCAGCGGTCTGAGACCTTGGGACATAAAGCTACTCATAGTCTTAATTTCGAACCGAGTCTTATCTTGAACCCTCCGGTAAGCAAACCTGATATTGCTGCTATAGGGGATGATCATGTCTGGCGTCCATACATAGACGTCAGCCCGGAGGGTTTATCGGAAAGGCTGGCGCGCAGATTCTCAACCGCAACGAGACCGAAAGAACAAGGGCTGCGGCGGATCGTACCGAATGCGGAGACTGCCCCGGCTCTCCTTTTGGCAACATCTATCAAAGGGAAGCAACCGACGGCGGACGCTGGCCTGGATGCCTTTACTCCTTCCCCTTCAGTCCAGTTTCGAAACCCATTCGAGCCCAGTGGGAATTCATCTCAACAAAAAGAATTGTCATTGCCGCCGGAGGAAAGCGATTCCCAAACCTCGCCTTCTTTGCAAGATGCGGATCCGAAGTCTCCCCCAACCGACACTGGAGCTCCCGAAGGCGAAAACTTCAAAAATGTTCCCCTAGTTTATTCTAAAAGAAGGGCAATATCGACGCCTCTTCCAGCGTCGACAAAGACGGAAGGAACACAGGTGATTCCACCTCACACACATGGAAGACGAAACATCACCGACCCTAATATCTTTCGTCGTCCGACCTTGGCACAAAACGGCGCTACTTCGTCATTGATGTCGGAACTAATGGGTCCGCGACGCAGAGCCTATCCTCTTTATCTTCAGGACTATAAACAAGAGATGGCTCATCTACGGGACATCGGATCACGTCCATTCACCCTGGACTCAGTAACACTGACTAGGTCTCAAGGCACTTTCCGTCAGCGCCCAAAACGCCATTCTATCGCTGCATCAGACCCTGCATCAACCGTCATAGGTTCCGATGATACTCATATATTCACATCTGGCGATGAGGATGAGACAGATTTCTTGAGCGACACCGCCTTTGACTCCATCCGCACCCATCTCACCACCAGCAGTGGCTTGGGCTCTTATGCTCCTCGAATCGAGACAATCTTTGATAAGGACTTCCCCGTGAATACCTTGGAGGGAGAGTCTTCTAATGGCCATGCACTTGAAACACGCGAATCTCTTACTTCACAGTCGCTTGGGAATTGCCATTGTGAATCTGATGCAGATGCGACGCCAACGCCCATTACTATGCCAGGCCATATCGCAGACAGCGCATCGGATATGCACGAAGGTGACAGCCACATATCTTTTCCGTCTGACTTGACCGACGACGAAGATTCTCGCAGTCTGGTGGCGGCGTTGCCCGGTGAAACTACCAATCCATTCACACAAGTGCAATCTTCAATGTTGTCGTTGAAGGGTGATGGCGGCGATTGTTTCAGAGGCGAGACAAGGCAATCACACAAGTACGATTCTCGCAGTCTCAACCACGAGGCGCTTGACTCGTGTCCGAAAATGAACATCTTCGACTGGTCAGAACAGCCGAGAAGTGACCGTGAAGCAGCAGGTTCTGATGGGCGGCCACGGACCATGCATGGGAAGCATACGCCTGACGTGCGTGGCAGCCGCGCGCCAGGACGAAAAGCTCCGAGTACATTGCATCTCCGTAGTCAAAGTGTTCCAGTAACGAGAGACCCTCCGACAATTAATGAGCAACGTCAGACCTCAGGCAAATTCGGTACATGGGGCCTTGGGAGCAAAGGCGTTAGCGAAGACTGGGACAGTGACTTCGACTTCGAGGATGCAGATGAGACAACCAATGAGTCTATGAAGCCAAGCAAAACGACCCCCCGGCGGGGTATGATTGTTCCTCAGGCCATCATGGAACGCCAAGCAAGCCTTCACGGGCAGTTCGGACAGGTCCAAGAACTAACCTTGCTGGTTGAAGAGCTAAAGCGTCTGCGACACCAAGGCAGCTTTCTAAACATCGTCCGCGGGCCATCAAGCGAGCTTTGGAAAGAGGCAGAAGGAATAGTGAACCTAGCCACACTTGATGATGATGATCATACTAACTCGAACAATAACTCTCCTCCTGGATCCCCTTCGTCGCTGACATTCAGTTTTGACGACTCGGAAGGCGATTCATCCAATGCCAATGACCCTTGGAAAAGGGTCAGCGATGGATCATGGGGATTATCGCTCTCAGAGCACTCCAATTCCTGCCCTACTACCTCTCCCAGTCCCGATGTCACTACCAAACCGAACTCTGTGTTGGATCTGATCTATCGACAACGCAGCTCGGTTGACTCCGCTTTTGCGGAATCACATCCTCCTCGTCCCAGAAAACTTCCTTTTGATACGCAATCTCTCCGAGACTTGGTCGTTCGAGCTGGCGTTGTCACGCGTGCTTTGAAAGAAGTAATCCGCAAAGCTGAAGGTGTTACGGCGGAGCCTAGAGACACCTTACATCTTTCAGACCCGCCATTCCGTCGCATTTTCGACCAGTCTTCCCATCATAATGCATGTCTCGAAACTCACGGCAAATGAGCCACGCCACTTCCTTACATTACATGATGTTATCACTTCACGCCTTTTCTATTCTCCGACTGTATCCTCCTTTTTTTGAAAAGTCTGATGATTTCTTGAGCATATGAATTGACGCGAAAGAAAACAATTGACTTGGACATGCATCACCTCTACGCTACCGCTAATTTCCTCTTCTCCCCTCCCTCTGTCAGGGAAGGAATTTTCGATAAAACTTTCTGTTTTCAGATGGATATCACATTGTACAATTCAGATGTTTGGTATTTCCCATTCAGGGTTTGTGTTGTGTACTTGGGGCGGTTCTTGTGCGAATATTTCTTTTTATTGGGGCCTTTTTTTTTTCTCCCTCAACCTTTTCCATAAAGTCTCCTTTTTAGTCTCCTTTTTTTTCCTTCTTTTTTCTCATCTTCTGTTCTCTGTACGTGATATTTTCGGAAGTGGATTACGAAGGTCCCGTACAGTCTTCCATTGCCTGTTTTGCCTCTACCAGCTTCCTTTTCTTCGTTTGATTTTACTTTTCACGGGTGTATGGATTTAAGAATATGGGTCATAATGTACCTGTCTGGAGAAACAAAAGAAAGATATGGCGATTTCTCAATAGCCAATATTGCAAAATATCGAAGAATGGGCTATTACAATCCTAATGAAACGAGCCCAGTGAGCCAAAATCTTCCTACGACCATGTAAATGTCCATTCCTACTCCGAATTCACCATTTAACACATACTTGACCCTGGCCATCAATCAGGAAGCGTATGGATTTTAGTGGATCCGCGGGGGAAAATAGATAGAGGAGATCAAAGTAAGAAATTTGCGGTCAATTCATCAAGAACATGGTGGGCTTTCTGTCCACCGATCTGAGAACGAAAGTGGCGACCAAATGGACCTGGTGGGAAAGGGATTGTAAATAGTATCGGTGACATCCAATCAATGTACTGCTCGTGATACAATGTCTTCTTGTATTGTGGCATGATTTTACTAGTATATGGCATTGCCAGGTATAGCAATCATTGGTTTCAACAACACATATATTTATTTCGGTTCGAACTTAGTCTTTGCTATCCCGGAGGAAAAGAGCGTAAGCTGGGTAACATTGCATGCACCGTTTCTCTTCCAGGAAGAGTTACTAGATCTCAGTAGCTAGGGTACCCTAGAAAGAAAGAAAAAGAAAAAAAAAATTAATAAGTACTTCATAAGGGGTAGCAATAAGTACTACGGTAGATCACACTTCATAACACCCGTGTTATATACGACATATCCGGGATACCGGATACCTTCTTCTAAAAACATGCTCAAGGTATTCTTCTTGGTATTCTTCTTCTTCCTCCTCCTCCTTTCTCGTGAAAAGAGCGCAACTGCTATCTGGAATTACGGCTCTGGAGCTTTGCATATATGAATCTATCAAAAAGGAAAAGTGCCGTGCCGTTTCATAGGAAAAACGGCCCATACATCTTTCGGACTTCGTGTCTGACAGCTTCCCCTTTCATTCATCTATAGATGTATGATGCCTATTACCTGTTGAGTCAAGTAATATACCTGGAGTGTTACAGTCAGAAGGGCGAGGTCACAAGCAACGGAGCTGCAAGCCTGAAGGGGGATTCACTCCTCCCATGTCATCACAATGGCCGATATACATCACAAGGACAAGTGCCAGCTGAAGATTGGTTGCTTGAGATGTGGATGTGTTGACATGATGCAAATTACTCGAGCACTGGGCTATTGCAGGTGATATACTCGCAACATATATATATGTTATGATTGGGAAGAACCTTTAGTATTTATAACTACTAACCAAGCATCACATATTATTCATTGATATACTGTTGCTACATGGCATGGTGATATAGACAGTCAACGATCCAATAGGTTACATGAACCTAGTACTTGGTGGAAAGTATGCAAGCCATGATCTTCAACCTAGGGGGAATATAATGCATATAATTGTGGTGTTCCTTGCGATTGGTGTATCCATTCTAAGTTCGTTCTGGTTTCCGTAACGAACCATAATCCTAGACTCAAGGGACCTTTGCTAAATTAATCATGTCTCAACCCCAGCTACATAGGAGATGTGAATGACGGGACGCTCGCAGGTGAGTGAGCATTTTCTATCAGACTAGGGATCTTGTTATTTTCATAAACCTACCATGAGAAATGTGCTTTCTGGACTCTGCAGTTTTAGAATATCTATAACCGAGGTCGCCTCAAGATACTTTTAGGCCTCAGGCCACGGTAGATCAGCTCGAGGCTGTGGTTCGGCTAGATGGCTTAGCCAAATAACCGGCCAATTGATTAATCTGGTTTTCTTTTCTATAACTACTCTGCGTAGTCTCCGTAGTAAGATCGGAAGGGCGGGGAAATATCATAGTTCCCAGAGGCTACCCCATACTTTATCACATTGCAGACAGATTTGTCACTGATTGCTGGTTTGTTTGTTGGTGGTTCACTCACTAATTGTGGGTAGAAGAGTTAGATAGCATCAGTGCAGGACAGTAATGCTTCGTAGGTATTTAGTACTACATGCCAGGAAGGATACCCGGGCCAAGCCAACTGAACAAAATCGAGTAACTGAGCCAGCCAACTGATGCTAATAATAAACCAAGTGTTATCGTGGATGTACGTCAACTACTTCTTCACTAGTTGTGCTCCGTAGGCAACCAACAAACTTTCGCAGTGCCAATCTACTCCGGTAGGATCATTCGAGAAGGTTTAGCACCTGTCCAGACTTCCCAAGGGGTAAATGTCAGATAATAATCGAGCAAGTCGACAGGCTCAGCTTTGTATGGCGGGTGGAGAATGTCCGAGAGGTAATCTCCCAAGGGGCGGAGTCCCCTTTCAATTATTGGTCAGGACTGAGCGGGTTCCTGACGCTAGTCTGCAAAGGAGAGACTAGGCGCCCCACTTGTGCCTTGGTTTTTTGCTTTCTCGACTCAGGGGATCGCGGCCACCTTACTTGCTCGGTCTTAAAGTAGAGAAAAGTAAATAGAGCCGGACCTGGAGGGGATGAAAAGACAGTGGATTGAGAGGGTCGGCAGGGTACTTAGAACATCTGCCAGAAAAAGCCCACGAGGAAGCTGAAACACTTGCAAAGTAAGGAAAGTCACAAAAGAGGAATCAGCTTGCCCAGACTGTTGGATGGAGTCCGTTCACCATTACTGCTAGTGAACTAGTGTTCCATACGGATGTGATACCGGTATCTACTTCACACTCGGTAATATGTATTTCGATCTTCAGCCAACTCAGGGGGCGGCAAAACCATGGCGTGACAGAAGAGGAAGTGTACCTTACTACCTAAACTCCGACTTTTTGGTCCATACTTGAGCCAGCTCCTTTGTAGTTCTATTCCTCTTCTTGACCTCAAAATCAATCGCAATGTACTCACGGTGTAGAAGTTATGTGGGTTGGCCAACGTTATTGGCCCAGGCTCTACTAAATAGGAATTATGTTGTTTATCAAGCATTCTTCTGGAAAAGATACTGTGGGCAACAACAATTATACTACTACTTAAAGTAGCTAATAAGTAGTTTACTTTGCTAGCGAGTAGCAGCAGCCTGTCTTATCTCTGCGTACGTAGATAGATAAATACTCAGGTAGATAGTACCTCCTCCTCGAATAGATGACCATACAATACTTTGCGAATACGGGGCATGTGTTCGGTGTTTCCCCTCCCGCAGTATGGTACGACGGATACTCACTCCAACTAACTAAACCAGCTAGTTTAGTCTAGTTCAAACCACTGCTCAACTTCCACCCCCCCCATCTGCCACCAAGCTTTGCCTCTCCTCCCCACAACCGGTTAGACAAACAAATGAATGGAAATGAAACGGGCCATCTAGACCGCTTAGGCAGACTAGCCCAAGGTAGTAGCCCTGGGTGCTGCTGCTTGCTTACGCCCTCTGGGCTTTCGCCCTGCTGGCTCACTTCATTTTCCCTCTTTTCTCCCTCTCCCTATTGAGTTCGGTCGGCCTCCTCTTCTTGCTACTCCTTTCCTTTCCTTTTTTAACCTGTTACACGTCGTTCTTTCCCTCCCCCCCGGGCCTCGACATCTCGGGGTTCGCGTACAGTCGTTCATTTCAGGGAGCCTTTCTCGCTCCCGTCCATTCCTTGCTGGACCCAAAACCGTCCTTGTACCTTCGCTTCTTGTCCGCCATTACCACCGTTGTTGAGCGTGGCCACCTGCCCTCCCCCCCAGTGAGATAGATCTTCGCATCATAGGCACCTCCTCAATTGCAGCTCGTCATAAATACCGCCACTCGACTTCATGCTTTACGGATATCGACACCTGGGAAATATTCACATCAGACCGAAGAACTACTGTGGCCCTGCAACTGCCCCATTGTCGAAGTAATCTGGAAGAATCTGGAAGTCCTCCGGGCTCACGGAGAGTTCGGATTACCTCCCTGAAGAACTCGGTCGATCATGCACAATCACCACCATCATCATCAGGCTCTCCATGGCACACAATTGCAAGGCCGCTCGAGGGCACGTCGCCCAAGCCTTGTGCCTCGTGACCGGCTGCCATTGCTAGCGATGCGCGAAACTCCGACGTTGGCAAGAAGAGAGCCTCTGCCGTCTACTGATTCTTCTTCGGCTACCTCATCCTCCGCATCCAGTGGTACTAAACCGACAAGCACGCTTACCACTACGACCTTGCCTGTTGTTTTAGGAGCAGTGTACGTTCAATTGCGTTCCCTCCTCCCTTCAAAGTGCCCACCTTTGCCCTCCACTTTACGGCACCCATAGTTATAGTTCTGTTCCAATGGTTTAGAGCCATGACTGATGAGCTCCTAGGGTTCCTATTGTGATTGCTATTGGCATTCTGCTCTACTTGCACCGCAGAAACGTAAAGAAGCTCCGTAACGAAGATGCAAACGACAAACACAAATCTCTCGACTTCGGCCTGGATTTGGCGCCCACTAACGGAGCTGTGCCTATGCAACAAGCAGAGAAAGCTGATCGCAACGCGGCCCACAACAAGGGCATATCGTTGGATATTGGGCCTAGCCCCTATCTGCTCCCCCCCGGTCTGCACAACTCGAGGGAATCCCTGGCGTCTATGTCCAGATCCATCGGTGATGGTGACGACGATAAGTATCGACACGTCGGGTCCTTCCTCGGTGACAATTCGTCGCTCAGGTCGCACTCGAGAGGCCCCCACGACGATGCGGCAAGCTTCACAGGTTCAACCAGACGGGCTGCCCTGGGAGACGATATGAACCAGGGCCTCCTGCGGAACGCCCAACGAATGTCGCGCTCGTCGCCGCCACTTTACAATACTCAGTCTGGTGACCGTAACGCTGAGAGCCCAGCGAGCTCTGATCATGAACGCGATCATGGGTTCCAACTGGATCTGCCCAGAAGCCCGAGTCCTGTACATGTTCCCGGAATGGCCATCAGCGAGCCGCACACGACAAGCAACGAAGCCGGATTCGCTGGAGATCACGCAGTTACTGAGACCAGTGCCAAGCAGAAGCGCCTATCGCATATGCCACAGTATGCAGATATGACACTTCCCAGTGACCACGGTCTCGGCCACGACGTGGATTCGGTACCGGCTCCTCAGAATCATGCCAATCTTCCACCGTTACACGACCCTCTTTCGCTTCATCTGGACCCCAGCCCGGCTTCTGTGCAAACCGCATCGATGTCAACACCCAGGATCTCGCTCCCT